CTTGTATAACGCTCAAATCCGCTATCGTAGCCATCCACAACTTGCAGTCCTACCGTTACTCATCTCTCATCGTGCGCTCGTCCTCGCTTACCCTGAGCATCGCAGAGCCGTCGCTCTCCGACTCATCTGCTCCTTTCTGCCGTCATCCCCCTACTCACGTCTCGGGTCTTGACTTCATCCTCACAACGCTCTTACCATAATCATTCATCCAAACTACATAACTCTCATAGTGTCTTGGTATGGTCACTCTTTTTTCTCCAGTCTCTTTTCTCCCCTTCAGCACCTCCCCCCATCGATCTCCTCTCTTTTGCTTCAGCCCCCCAGACACGGCGCCTAGACGAACGTGAGCGGTGGTTACTCCTGTCCCACTAACTTGGGTGTAAGGCCTCCCGTAATCTTGTGCCCCGGATTGGGCCGGTTTTGGCCTTTTTTTTTTGAATCGGGTTCACTTTGGAAAGGGCCCGCGGCGGGGCGCCGGTTTTTGTTTTCCCCGGGCCTCTGTTGCTTCAATCCGCAAAAGGCGCCCCCCCCCCCCCCTCCCCCTTCCCCCTGAACTACCAGGACCCTCGAATAGCGTGCCTCCAGTGGCTGAGCAGACAATGGCTGCACTCGTCGGCGATCATGCGTGCGGCCGCTCAATGGTGTCGGAAGTGGCCGGGTCTGGAGCCGTGCAAGATAATCCTTAGCGTTGTTGTTTAAAGTTGATGTGGATTCTCGCTCATTTGGTTTAGCAGCTCTTCATTAAGGAAAACGAAGAGGCGATGAATCGCGCTGGTTCCGTCTTTTACTGTGGAGAGGCACACAGAAAGAGAAGATTTATTCCTGTTTCGGGAGGGTTGCAGGTGGACAGAGGAGAACACTTCTGTGGCAGCCAACGCCTGTCCTCCAGTTCATCTGCCGCCGGCCCTAGGGCTATTTAGGAGTTAGGCCGGTGATCCTTCTGGAAGCGCTGTCGCAATGTCCGTCCGAGCTTGAGACCATGCTGCTGCGGATGGGAGGACTGCCGTCGCCCACGAGCTGGGCGGTTGATCAGCGAACTTCAAACAATTAGCGGTTGCTTCCAGGAAGGTCGCGATACCGAATTGAACATCTTTCCTCTGCGTGGAAGCTGACCAGCTGTGCAGGCACTGTTCATCTTGTTTCACCTCCCGGAGGAAAGTCTTTTCATTTCTCTTTAGGGGAAAATCTTTAGATACCCAATTTCCCGGGGTAATGGAGCTGGGAATGCGAGGCTAGGGCACCATCCTGCGCGGCTATCATACCCCAAGGCACACCTCGCCCCTGACGCTAACACTCGACAGGTGGGCCATTGGGAAGCTGTGCCGGCGATGGAGGCGGGGAGCAGGCCGGTCCACTGAGCGGCCGGGGCAAGATTCCCCATTACTGGACCCAGTTGACTTGTCAGGTGTCATAATGTGCTAGGCCGGCTGGCCGGCCACTGGCCTTGCCGCCGGAAGTGATGCCGGTGTTTGGTGCCTGGCTGGGCGTGAATCGTGGTGTGTGGGTGGTGTTTGTGTCATCGAAGTTTAGGGGTGGTATTACGCACTGTCGGGGTGTGATACGATTGATCCAGGTGGCTGGACAACGCAGGATCGAAATTTTCGATCTGAACAGGCCCTTCATCCCCGGCCCTTCATCTTTGGCTCAAGGATCTATCGTAAATGACATGTCGAACGCGTCGAGTCAGATTGCAAAGAAGCGTTCACTCGATGTTGGCTAAGGCGAGCCCGCCACCCGCTGTCGATAGTCACGTACATGTATCGACAAGATCACTTGATGCTCAGCTTTGCTGTTTGCATCGAGTCAGGCTCATTTGTGATTCGGACAAACAACGACAAAGAAGCAACGGATTGATCAGATGTGGCGATATGGCTGGACTAGGGGAGCTCGAAGATGTTTGCCGGATGGTTGGTTTTGTTTTTTTTCCTTCTTTTTTGACGGTGCCGTTCCATGTTTGCTTGCCTGGGTCATGAACGAGAAAGTGACAGCTCGTAAAAGATCCTTAGTGCGCCGGGTACATGTCCCTGTTTACTCATCAGCTCTATACTGTCATAAACTCGTTCGTGACTGGAAAAGCAATACATGCGAGCAGAAGGAATAGGTGGCGGTAGAAGAGGTCCGACAATTGCGCGACGGAAAAAAAGCAAGACACACAATAAGAGAAACGCAAGGAAGATGGTCAGATAGCCAGGGAATCGGGGTGAACAACTTACGTTCGTCTTGCCAGAGGCATCTCCTCTCTTACCTTGTTCACGACCTCCATGTCAATGTCAACCAACCCAATGGCCCCTTCGGCGCCCTCTTCGGCAGTGCCCTCGCTATCGACCCCTCCCAACTCGAGCTTGACGCTGCCCCAGGGGTCGACGACTAGGCTGTGTCCATAGCTGCTTCTTTTTTCGTTGTGCCGTCCGACCTGTGCCGCCGCTACGACCCAACTCTGCGTCTCGATGGCTCGGGCACGTAAGAGGACCTCCCAATGAGCACGTCCCGTCCGTGGTGTGAAGGCAGATGGATAGAGGAGCACATGCGCCTTGGTTGCAGCGAATGGGCTCCCAGCACCCGGTTGGGCCAGGGCCAGGGCGGGCTCCGGAAAGCGTAGGTCGAAGCAGATGAGTGAGCCAACGTTCAACCCGAGAGGACTGGCGAACGGCGCCGTTAGTGCGCTGCCGGGCCGGACGGTGGCCGACTCGCGGAGGGGGCCATAGTCAAAGAGATGGAGTTTGTCATAGGTAGCGGCGCGGTTAATTGTGCCATCCGAGTTGATCCAGAGGGATCGATTCAGCAGCTTGGACGATATGCCATCTGCAGCCACGTGGATCCCGACATTGACAGCTAGAGAATGCTTCCGTGCAGCGTCTTGAAGGCCGATGACGAATGGAGACTCGTCTTGCGGAAGCGCGAGTGCCAGCGATTCTTGAGGAGAAGATGCAATATAATCAGCTGCCTCGGGGAGGAAAAGGACCTTCGCGTTGCCAGCTGCTGCTTTAGCAACAAGTCGGACACACTGCTCCAGGTTGTGAGCGAGGGATGCTGTCGAGCAAATCTGGCCAATTGCCTGGGCCATGTCAGTGCCATTCCATTCCTGCCTTGAGGGTGAGTGAGTGGCCCTACAGCAATGGCCATGATGTCCCAAGGGCCAAAGAAAAGACGAAACACTTGACACGAAGGTTGGTGATAGCAAAAAGGATTAAGGGTAGGGTATTCTCATGTGGTGATAAATTATGCAGTAGTGCTTTATCGCGACTGCCCCATCATGGCGTTGAGTTGCATCGTCGTGATGTGCTGAATAAGCGAGCGCTGTCCCCCTCCGTCGCTCTGCCTGTACATCGCTTGCCTACATCACCAGGAACCATGTGACGTGATATCTCAATACCACTCGACATCTCCGTTTTCGCCGTTGAGTTTCCCTTCCGCCTCAAGCCTCGTCAGCGTGGCTTTGACCCTTTGTACAACGGCCTGCGCATACTCGGGCGTCCCAAGTGGCGGCGCCTTCTTGGTCGTATCGTGTCTCAACCATGGAACCCGCCTCGCACTTTCGTTCCTCTCCTCCACGGCAGATCTCAGGGCTTCCGTGGCCGCATCGTCAAATGCGCCGCCCAGCACGATTGCGCATGGTGGCTGGCTGTAATTGCCGGTGCCAATCGCGCTGCTGTCCTCATGAGGTGGAGGCTTGCGACCCGCCACGAGAGCTGGCAACAGCGAAGGGCCCGAGGGGCCGGCCTTGACGAAATGGATGACTAGTGGCATCACGTCAGTCAAGTGCGGGAGCAGAAAGGGATCTATGAATATAAACCTTCGTACTCGGGCCTCAGAGAATTGATGACCATCCGACCCATAGCCTCCATTTTGCCACACACAACAACAGGGAGTGGTTTTGACATGACGAGATGAGCTTATGCTTCGGATTTGCCTCGCACGATCTCAACTGCGGGGAAGCTTTGTTATTTGTAGTGCAGTGTGTTACGAGGGTGAGATACCTCACCAGGTCTAACTTGTCACATGATCCTGCTTGCTGACTGCATGAGGAGTAACACCAGAGGACATTCAGCATATGCTTTGATTCATTACGTAGTTCTAATCACAGCTTCCGGATCGCAACGGAGCGCCAAATATGGAGCAGAAGAATATCCAAACAAGACTTGCTCACCACCAGATGAGGTAAACGCCAACCCATTGTGTACAAGAAAAGACGGGCTCATATGTACAGGCGAAAGTCTCCCTACTGCGCAGCCAAGCCGTTCTGAACGAAAAAGTCAAGAATCTTCCCTGTTGTTTCGACATGGGAGTATTCCTAGATGTTACGGTTAGCCTAGCCCTGGGGCTATAAGACAGAAAGTACACATACCAAGGCGAGACCATGCCCAGCGCCCTTCACGACGTACGCCTCGAAAGGCTGGGCCTGCTGCAGGAACTGCGACGACGTATCGAGAATGGACTTAAGCTGGGGGCTGCCAGTAGCCGAGCAGTCACCGCCGCAAAAAGGAACATCACGGTCTAAATATCCATGAGCAAAGTTCATGATGTTGGCCTTGTACGCGAGGAACACTCACCACCAGTGATCACCAGCGCGGGGCCGCTGTACGAACTAGGAATACCCGTACTGCCGCCAACGGTGAAAAGCTCGCCGATGGACGCCGGCTGTCCCGTGCTGTATGCTGCCTGTAAAATCTCAGGGTCAAACGCGCCAGGGGCGAAGAAGTTGATGTGAACACCAGTCGTCGACACGGGCGCCACGTATCCATCAGCATAATCGGCAAGCGGAGGCAGAGAGTTTGCTTGGACGAAGTTTCCGCCAAGCAAGAAGTACGGCAGGAAGGTGCCATTCTGAGAGAAGCCGGTCAGAACGATGCCGTCGGATAGACACGCGTCCTTGTCGTCGATTGTCAGCCCATATGTCTGCACCGACCCAAAGCTATGGCCGACGTGGACGATCTTTTCGAAGTGCTTGTCCTCGAGGCCGCCGAGCTCGCTGGCGCGAAGTTTCTGCGTGAGGACTTTGAGGGCGGCGAGCTCAAGGGCTTGTTGAATCTCCGAAATTGGTTCGCCATGGGACGACTCGCCTACGCCAAGGCGGTCATAGGTGAAGGTAGAGTAGCCGTACTCGTCAACAGCCGTCTTGGTATAACTATAGTTGTAATTATTTGCGGGGAAATCCCAGTAGCTGCTGTTCGTCAGTCACTCTTTCGCAGCTGCTAGGCCCCGCGAAGGACTTACTGTCTATCAAACCCGATGCCATGTGTCAGGATTTGGAGAACCTTGGATGGTCCGTGGTCGGGCTCACAGTATGTTGCTGCGAGCTCGTAGTTACCACTAATGTGCGTCTCCTGTGAAGAGAACGTTAGTCATGATCAGCACGAGGTCATAGGGTGCCATACTCCTGTAGTAATGTCGCTGATGAAGTTGCCGCCTTGCCTGGTTACTTGCAAAACGATGTCGGTGATTTCGATGTCTGTCGTTGGCACAGCCAGGTCAAAGGCTTTGTTCGTAGCCGAGACATCAAGGCTGACAGACAAGTCGTGGCAGTTGCGAGCTGTTGCCAGCGCTGCGAAACTGAGGATGGATAGTGTTATACTATGGCGAGCCATTATGAAGGTAGATACTGCACCGTCAACTCCCACCGAGAAGACAAGGGAGAACAGGTGGAAAAAATAAGAAAGTATGATTATAATGAGCGTGACGTCTGCGGAAAACACATCCGAACGTCGTCGGCACGGTATCCCATATATACTAAAGCCTGGGCTCCCACCTGCCCTCATCCCATTACATCATCTCACTGCCGAGAGACCTCTCATCCGAATTCTGAATCCCCCCCTTACTTCCTTCGCATGCATGATGCCAATAAATCCTTACTCACGCCCAGACTCCTGGGTCCGGCGGATGACGAGAGCTAGAGTAGCGCGGCTTGGGGTACTGTGTGCTTGGTCGATCAGCAAATCATATGGCTGCAACGTTTCTGCTTGGCCGTTGACTCTAGCCGTTGACTCTGTAAGATGGGTGCTCAGTCAGTGCTCCAGGCCCTCTTCGCACCCTTGTCCGCTCTGTCTGCGCGGTGTTTGGCAGCGGGCGAGGAGCGGGAGAGGCGCTTGGGGGATGTGTGTCTCAGTTGGAGCAAGAGGTGACTGGCGATCCCAGCCCAAGTGCCGTTCGATTTTAGATTTTCAGGCGACTACCCAACACCTCCGGAGCATAATCTAACAGGCGGAAATCCACCGAAACTACAAATCAGCAGACCGTCATCTCGAGCCGGATCAGCAACCTACGTCTGGGGTGACACGGTAGTAGTAAGCCGCATGCTGGAGGCGGAGAAGCGACACCAATCCCCCTCCACCCATCCGTTGTGACGTTGACGGCGTCCACCTCCTCAGCTCTGAAAACGCCGCTTGCCGGTTCTTGTGGCGAACTTTTACGGAAACTTAGAGTGCCCAAGCAAAACTATCGTGCCGTAGAGTCCCAGACCTCAATCTGCCATGAGCATCTCGTCATCTCCGCCATCCTTGCGCCCGTCTCAGTGCCGTCATTGCTTTTGCTCAATGGTCGGACCGGGCAGTTGCCGGCTGGACGGCTCTGTCGATCACTCGGGTAGCGCCCGGCGTTTGTGGGTTTGTTATGGTCTTAGGCCTTGTGATGATTTGAGATCCTCCAGGTCTGAGATCAGCTATCTGGCCCACCGTTCGTTGCGACGGTTGAGATCGGTGAGAGACTTCTGACCTGTCAGAACAGAGAGACACAAACCCGTCGTCTAGATGAGAGATCTCGGACTACGTTCCACTTCAGCCCTTTGACTCCAGTAAGCCCAGCATACATACTAGCCACATCAGTAAAGTATATGACATGAGCGAATGCAGGCAATGTTTTCTTGTTGCGCGTCTGGCTAACGCGCCGAAGGGTTTCTCTGTTTAAGCTGTTCTACACTGAGCTGGCAGCTCTTCGTCACGCGGCTGCCCGTCGGTTCATGGTGGCAGGCCTCTCCAGACCGGCACGAGAGAACTTTCCACCCTCAAACCCTACTTAGCCCCCACGAAGGAGGCCTCATCCGCAAGAATAATGCAATCCTCAGAACGAAGCCATGCAACCGCCCGTATCCGGCCCGAACCCATGCCATGGGGTCGGGTAAAAACGCCTTGCTAAATCATACAGAAAAACACAACGCGGAGATTTGTTTGTGTGCTCGGCCGCCCTTTTTTTGCAGTCTCTCCCGTCAGCAGGGGTGGGTTGCGCAGCTTAGCTTCCCCGCCGCTGGTGTCCGTTCCCCCACGTCCATTTTTACCTGTTATTCGAGCTCCAAGTATCCAGTCGAGCAAGACCCTCGTAGTTATTCACATGCCGGTTTGTCGTCGTACGGCTGTGACGTCGATCGTACCGCAAAGGCATTCCCTACCATTATTGCCCTGCGAGACGCTCATGGCGATAGAGGATCTGAGCGTCAACATGAATTGCCGTAAGCCCACTACTGCTTGGGACCAGAGGTGTCGAGTTGAGCATACGCTCGCTGCATGGCCCTGATCTCAACGCCGTCGCCTTCTAGCGCAGAGACCCAGTCGCGGAGCTGGATGTTCTTTCCCTTATCTTTATCCTCACGCCACGCGCCAGGTCTGCGATGCGCACTACCATCTGTTGTCAGGGCGCTTGGTGGTGGCACAACTGGTGTGCCAGGAGTTGTAGGGGCGCCTGGCTTTCCTCCAGCGCCAGCCTTCGGCGTGCTCGCGCCGCTGCCTCCTCCTGTCATCCACGAGTAAGACTTGCCCCCCTTTTTCTTGCCGAACAGACCCGAAGTATTTGTCAGGCCTAGAAACTCGCGACTGGTAGTGTTTTGGTTGGCATGGCTGCTTGCCTCGGCCTTCTTCGCAGCCTCCAGCTTCTTCTGCTCCTTCTTCGTCATGGCTTTCTCGCCATCGGGCGCCGATACGCCAGGGGTGCCAGGCGCCGCAGAGCCCGCACGGTTTGCACCTGCGCCAGTGTCTGTGATACCCTCTTTGCGGGCGTTTCTTCTCCGCAGCCTCGATTCCTCCCACTCTCGCTCTGCTTTGCCGATGTCTCTCATTAACGCACTGACAGTAGTTGCGTTCGCGGCCTGGGCTTTGCGGAGCTTGGCCGGACGGGTGCCATTGGCCGAGTCGGCAGCGCTGAGAGAGCCTGGAGGTCAAATGTCAGTGAACCATAAACAAAAGTGGCAATGTCTTTGCTGCCTCACGTTTCAGGGGTTGGGTGCTGGAGTCAGCCTTGCCCCCAACGTCATTGAATTCGCCGTTGGACTCAGCAGGAGTCGTGTTGAGGGGCCCTGCCGCCTCTTTCCACTCGTCAGGCACCTCGCCGTGGGAACTTTGCTGTCGTGTGACGGCAATGCGATGCGCGTCTTCGATCAAAGACCTCAGCCGCTGCTTCGAAGCTATCGAAAGCAGAGCGAGCTGATCCGCCAGATAGGCATCGTGAGGGATCCAAGTGCCAGAAGTCTTGATGACGGCGCCATCAGGCCCGACCTTCGTGCTGACCTTAACTGGTTTGGGGTGCTCATCCATAACCTTGATCTTACCCATCGGTTGGGAGGCCTTCATGTCCCAGTTGAGGGTAAGCCCATGCTCCTTCGCAATCGACTCTGCTCGCCCCTGCACATTAGGGACAACGAGGAATGCGCTGTTCAATTCCACAACCCGCTCCGCAGAAAGGGCTTTCGCGCTTGCCTGCCAAGCCTTCTCCGCCGCTTCAGCGATCACTTGGTCCTGGGACTTGCCGCCATTGGGCTGGGCTGCCTGATTCGCAGAGCCAGCGCCATAAAACGACGCCTTATTCCCAGGGTTCTGAATAGAGAAGCCTGTCCTGGAGTCGGAAATTGAGGGTTCAACGGCGAACAGCTCAGCCAGATACTGCTCCTCTGCCCTCAAGTCGATTCCCGTGCCAGCGAGCGAGTCGGTCACATCGTACTCGTATTCTTTCTGGGGGCGGTCGGCAGGCCTCGATGGGGGACCCATGGCACCTTGAGGTGGCTGTTGGTGCTGCAGGTGTTGCTGATGCTGCTGCGGGACCTGTTGCATGCGCTGCTGGTGCTGTTGCGCATGGTACTGCTGGTGCTGCTGCTGCTGCGCATACTGCGGCGGTTGCTGTGGATAAAGATGCTGTTGATGCTGCTGCTGCTGTTGATGCTGCTGCTGCTGCTGCTGCGGATGTGGTTGCTGCTGCTGCAACTGCGGCTGCATTTGCTGTGGTTGCTGCTGCTGTTGCTGCTGGAGTGGCGGCGTTTGTTGAGGATACTGGTGGTTCAGGGGCGGCGTCGCGGCAGCAGACATGGGTGGCGTGAAGGTGATATTAGTGTATGGCACGGGGGGTCCGGTGGGCGGAGGTGTCGGTCGCGATTCAGGCAGGGCAATCGTTGGAGTAGTGCTGCCGTTGCTGCTGCCGTTGCCGTTGCCGTTGCCGTTCGGGTATGGGGTTGTGTAGCTGCTCTGAGCGGGCATCTGAGGAGCTTGCTGAGTAGCCGGGTAGACTGGAGTAGCTGCCGGGGTCGTGACGCCGGGAGTAGAAGGAGCGCCAGGACTGGCATATGACTGTGTGTATGGGGTTGGTGATGCTGGCTGAGACGGAGGACCGGGAGAAAGACGAGGCCGCTTGTTGGGGGGCAAGGCGTTGACAGGAGACTGATAGGCCGATTGGGGAGGAACAGGCGACGGCGATGCCTGAGCTGGAGAGAACTGCCTCTGGGGTAGAGGCTGCTGAGGCTGAGGCTGCGCCATCCTGTCGGCTTTCGAGTCCGGTTGTCGCGTTGATGCAAGGAGGAAGGAAGGGCTGAAGTCGCAGAGCGCTTCAATAGGCCGTCGAGCCTATGCTGATTGTCGCGACCTCAGTCATGCGCTGCGCTTGATTCGCGTCAAATAGCAGAGCCTTGATGTTCGCGTCGGAAGTAGAACCAGGATATCTCGTCGACCAGTTCACGATAGCGATGGCAAGATAGCCGTTGAGTTGGTGGTGGGCTGTAAGGTAGGTAATCGATCTGTTCTGGCGCGCCGGGTGTATGAAAGAAGGAGCATCACCAGAGACTGATTTCCAACGTCGCGAAGCTTAATCATCACGTGACTGGCAGCCTGATTGCCGCGATGGCCCGTGCTCCTTCCTGCTGGCAGGGCCATCAATGCATCTCCCAAACCATGGTCCTCCGACCTGTAATAGTCAACCCTCCTACCTTGCGAACATTACTGCCATTGTTGAAGCTATTGAGCTGCAACGCAATTGCGCAGACGGAAACGTCTCCAGGGCGGGTTTACATCGCCAATGTGCTAATCTGACAGTGCCTGCCGTTCTCCCGCGCGCCGAAGACGAAACGACGAGACGCGACGATTACCATATACTTTGCGATTTACTCAATCTAGGTATTCGCGACAATGGCGGCGAAACGCAAGGCTGCCGCCATGGCAGCCACCGTCACGGAAGAGCCTGTTGATCCAGCGGATGAACTGATGTTCCTCTGCCTCGGAGGTGGAAACGAGGTCGGCCGATCATGTCACATTATCCAGTACAAGGGAAAGACTGTCATGGTATGGGAACAAGCACCTTTCGAAAGTGACAGTCGCTAACCCCCTCTACAGCTCGATGCCGGTCAACATCCTGCCTATGACGGTCTTGCCGCACTGCCCTTCTTCGACGACTTCGACCTTAGCACAGTTGATGTGCTCCTCATCAGCCAGTAAGCTACATTTCCCCTTCCTCCATGCTGGCATGGCGTTACACAGGCAAGGTGGTATGCGACGAGTAGAGCTAGGATAGTGGCGGCCTTATTTGGCTTGCTGTTGTGCATATGTCACTGTCGACGCCTCTCCGCCATCTTGCGCTACCTCAACGCAGTTCTCAGACTCAATACAAACTTCATTCCCATCGTCGCCCCCTTGCCTTGCCCGCCTTGTTTCTGTCGTGACCATCCAAGCCAACCCCCGCGCTTCGAACACATGATGTAGACTGTCGCGCCGAGTACACACACTGACCAGCGCACCAGTTTCCACGTCGATCATGCCGCCTCGCTTCCCTATGTCCTGGCCAAGACCAACTTTAGGGGCAGGGTCTTCATGACCCATCCCACAAAGGCCATTTACAAGTGGCTCATCCAGGACAGCGTTCGGGTCGGAAACACTTCATCCAACCCTTCGACGCAGCCTGTCTATACCGAAGCAGATCACATGAACACGTTCCCTCAAATCGAAGCCATCGACTACCACACTACCCACACCATCTCCTCCATTCGCATCACTCCCTACCCCGCAGGGCATGTCCTCGGCGCAGCTATGTTTCTTATCGAGATCGCGGGGCTCAAAATATTCTTCACGGGTGACTACTCTCGAGAACAGGATCGACATCTTGTGTCAGCGGAGGTTCCAAAGGGTGTCAAAATCGACGTTCTCATCACCGAGTCGACATACGGTATCGCGTCGCACGTGCCGAGAGTGGAGAGAGAGCAAGCTCTCGTGAAGTCCATTACTGGCATCCTAAACCGTGGCGGCCGCGTTCTGATGCCTGTGTTCGCCCTCGGCCGAGCTCAAGAATTACTGCTCATTCTCGACGAGTACTGGGGCAAGCACCCCGACTACCAGAAGTACCCCATCTATTACGCCAGTAACCTCGCCCGAAAGTGCATGGTCGTGTATCAGACGTACGTGGGAGCCATGAATGACAATATCAAGAGGCTCTTCCGCGAAGGAATGGCACAAGCGGAAGCATCAGGTGACGGCAGTGGCAAGGGTGGTCCGTGGGATTTCAACTACATTCGATCGCTGAAAAACCTTGATCGATTCGATGATCTGGGTGGTTGCGTGATGCTGGCCAGCCCGGGTATGCTGCAAAACGGCGTTAGCCGAGAGCTGCTGGAAAGGTGGGCGCCGAATGACAAAAACGGCGTCATTATCACCGGTTACAGTGTCGAAGGTACCATGGCCAAGCAGATCATGCAGGAGCCAGATCAGATCCAAGCCGTGATGAGCAGGACCATGGCCAATGCTCGTCGCGGTCCCGGTGGAGATGGGGAGAAGTTTTTGATTCCCAGGAGGTGCAGTGTACAGGAGTACTCCTTTGCCGCACACGTCGACGGAACGGAAAACCGCGAGTTCATTGAGGAGGTTGCGGCTCCAGTTGTGGTAGGTCCCTGTCATCCATTCCTTGGTCTATCGGTGCACTTTCAGAAGCTGATCAGCTCAGATCCTTGTCCACGGCGAACAGCACAATATGATGCGCCTCAAGTCTAAGCTTTTGTCTCTGAATGCGAACAAATCCGTCAAGGCCAAGATCTTCAGTCCCAAAAACTGCGAGGAACTCCGCATTCCATTCAAGCAGGACAAGACGGCCAAGGTCGTCGGCAAGCTAGCCACAATTCAACCGCCTACGAAGAGCACATTAGAGGATGGTCAGAACGCCACCCTGATTACAGGCGTCCTTGTCCAAAATGACTTCAAGCTGTCTTTGATGGCACCCGAGGACCTGCGCGAATACGCTGGTCTAAATACCACGACCATCACCTGCAAGCAACGCCTCAAGCTCAGCGCCGCCGGCATTGACCTTATTCGGTGGGGTCTTGAGGGTGTTTTCGGCACCGTCGAGGAACTTCCCGAGATGCACAAGAAGAAGCTCAGCGAGACGCATAATGGCGAGGATGAAGAAGCAGATGAAAATACAAACGAAGTCACCAGACAAGAGGAGGCCGATGAAGAAGTGGCGAGCCTAATAGCCGCATACCTTTTGATGGGCTGCGTAACGTTCCGCTACCGTAGCGACGGCGAAGTTGAGCTCGAGTGGGAAGGCAACCTTCTGAACGACAGCATTGCGGACGCTGTACTGACCTGTCTCTACTCGGTGGAGAGCAGCCCCGCTGCCGTAAAGCGTATGTTTTAGATGATCTAACCTCGATGACACCTTGACTGACCATCTCAGGTTCCGGCAACACACACCAGCATGACCACGGACCCCCAGGCCATAACCCACACGCTAATCTCTCTCCCGAGGAACGACTCGAGCGCTTCCTCATGATTGTGGAGAACCAATTCGGCGCTGACAATGTCAATCCTGTTGCGGATCCGAAGCTGCCCGTTCCTTCAAAGGATAATGCCAAGGGCGAGGACGAGAGCGAGGACGCTGATCCTTCCGCCATGGATACGTCCAACGATGGCGGGGACAAAGATCTTGATGAGCGTCGCCGCGCAGAACTTGAACGTCTGCACAAACTGGGCATCCCTGTTCCAGGAATCCACATCAAGGTTGATAAGATGGAGGCTACCGTATGGTTGGAAGATTTAGAGGTTGATTGTGTTCACAAGGCGTTTGCGGATCGTGTGCGCCGCGTCTGTGAACGTGCCGCCGAGGTTACGGCGCCGCTGTGGGGTTGATGTCAACATCGGAGGAAAGGGCCGGGTTAATGGTGTATACTACAAGCTGTCCACCAAAAGTATTTCCACTTCCGGAGACCGAATGGATGTCCATATTTCGCTTCACTGCAAGGTTACGAACGCTGCGCGTGGAGAGACCGGCGATTGAGGCAACTAATGAATGTCTCTAATGCATGGTGATTGGTACAAAGGTGATAGGTTTACAACACTAACTACGTTTACAACTCTTCCGACACCAAAACTTCGTTCTGAACGAAGCATGTAGTTCCTTAACCGAGGTACTCTGACAACTCTTCCGACTCTTCCAAGGTCGCGGCAAAAGAAAATGGCTGGAAGGGCCAGCCGGCGAACTCTGCGAACTTGGAGAAAGACTCGACCCATGCCAGACGCAGAGAGTGCAGCATAGCACTGGTACCTTCCATCATGACCAGGATGGCGATGGCTGACACTCGAGTTAGCGCAGATCGAATAAAATACAGAGGTGCAATACATACTAAGGACAAACCACAGGTAGAATGCAACAACGATCATAATGCCGCCAGTGATACCAGTAGCGCTTGGGGAGGCGAGAATACCGCCAAGAGTCATCGACCACAGCACAACACTGAGCTGCTGATGAGCCAGGGACAGAGCCCAGAGACGGAGGTAGGACGCCGTGTGAGACACACAGTTGAGGCAGAACTCTACATGATTGTGAGCAAGGGGGCTATATCGGATAGGAAAGGCAGCTTACCGATAGTGTGGATGATCTGGTGGATCATGACTTCGCTGAACTCAAACTCCTCATGCTCGCCATCACCGTGAAGGTCCTGTGTGATCATTGCCACGCCCTCGCCGACCGAGTCGGTACTGGGACGCCCGTTCACTGCGTGGCCATTGCTGTCGTCTTCATCGTCGCCGTCGAGAGCGCTGACTCTGGAGGTCTCGCCGACGGCCCTGTAGCCGAGACCACGAGCTCTGTTGTGCTCCCTGCGCAGCCAGAAGGGCTTGAGGAATAGCAAAATGGGAACTTGCACGAATGCAAGCAGCAACAGAATGACCTGCACAGTCGCCTGCCCGGGGTAAAGCTGAACATCCAAGGTGCCAGGTGAAAGGAACATGTAGATCAACATGTTGAGAAGACCAGGTGGCTGCCTAGGGTTTGAAGGATCGTTCCAGTCGACCGACCACTTGTAGATGATACAAAGGACGAGGTAGCCGAAAATGGACTGGAAGAAGATCATGCCAGGAACAAAGTTGCCCCAAATATCGACAGGCTTTCTGAAGTGCCTGGCGTTTACGTAGGAAAAGATCAGTGAGTAAGTCATGTGTGCCCAGCCAAGGATGATGCTCATCTTCATCTTATAACTGTTGGAGAAGAGGAGGTCATTCTCTGTACCGTGCCACATCCAGTCCAAGCCGAACGGGTAGCGGTAGCCGGAATCGTTGAGTGCGGCGGTAAGCGTCTGTCCGTCCACGTACTTGTCGGGCACCCGCCAGTGCCAGGCGCTGTCGAACAGCGTAAGGGACTTCGAGAAGATATCGTTGTAAATAAGACCGGTGAAAAGCGAGAAGAGCGCCATGATGAGAGCGATGTAACGTCCGTAGTAGAGCATTGCAAAAAGTTCGAACGAAACCTTCTTCAGGGGCTTCTCCCAATAGATCATGGCCAGGGCAGCTGAAAGCATGATAATGGCGTGGCCCAGATCACCGAACATGACGGCGAACAAGAAAGGGAAGGTGACCACAACCGGAAGTGCTGGGTTGACTTCCTGGTAGGTAGCAGTACCATAAGCATTGACAATAGTTTGGAATGCCTCGGTGAATTTGTTGGTCTTGAGGTAGGTAGGAGGAGTCTTGTTGGTCCTGATTTCGTTGATGATCGAAGGAACGGAGAGACCAGCCCGGTTTGTTACTTCCTGCAACGTCGCACGGATGCGACTGACCTCGTTGGTGGGAGCCCAACCCTCAGCAATCAGAGTGCGGCGGGCCTTATCATATGAGAAATTATTCAGTGTGTTGTAAACAGCTTTCTCCTTTGTAACAAGCACCATCCAGGCCGACAGCGATTGCGAGATTTGAGTGAGTTCCGCGCTGAGGGTCTGCTGTGTGTTGCGGAGGACGTTCTGAACATCATTGAGGCGAGCGTTGACCTCGTGCATCTGGTCACGGCGAAGATCGCTGTTCTCGTCGACATTGTAAGTCTCCGCACCCAAAGACTCGGAAATCTTGCGGATTTTGGCGAGAATCTCTTTGCCGTGGGCAAAAATGACGAAGACGTTCTTGTGCACGGTTTCGTTGGTCGACGGATCCACGAGGGGTTCCTCGATCTCCGACTGGTTCATGTACAGGTTTCCGCGAAGGGTGCGCCACAGGATGCGCTCAAAAGAGGCAACCCTATCGCGAGCAATAACACCGGCCACAAAGCCAATGTTCATGCCTGAGAACGACCGTTCGACCTCTGGGGCGGAGTTGTGGTGCTCGACGTCCTGGAGGAGAGGTGCATCATCTTCCTCTGTCGACGCGCGAATCTCGTCTACATTGCCGTGGGCGCGATCGAAGAAGCCGCCAGCTTCGCGAAGTACCCAGCGCCATTCCGTCAGCTCGACCTCACGCTTCTTCAGCGTCTCGTAGCTGTCGTTCAACTGGAAAACGCGTTGTTCAAGGCTTTGGCTCCGTTCGGCAAGTTCGTCAATCTCGGATGTCGAAGGATTCGCCAGCCTTTCATTATCGAGATCGAGTTTTCGCAGTGGAATGCCTGCCTTTTCCATTTGCGCGTAGAAGTATCCTGGAGCACGGTTAGCTCCCAAAATGCACATGAACAGTTGGCGGACGATAACGTACGCAATTGGCGCTCGACGTTGTCCAGTCGTCGAATCTCCTGCGTGAAGGTTCGCTGGAAAGCATTGACTTCGCCGTTGAGCTGCAATGAAGTTTTGTTAACTGAGGAGCTATGGGAATAGGTTTTGGGGGAGGAGGGGGGAAGCGCGTACGTCGCGGAATTGGAGGAGGCCAAGCTCTCCGAGAGCTGTGACGACGTCTCTGCCGATTTCGTTGGATATGTACAGCTGCACCATACTCATGTCCGCCGAGCGGAACATGGTATCCTGCGCTGGAGCCATTTTGATGGTTGCGAAAGCTCCAGAGCTGAGAGGGGGTACGTGGTGGGAAGATTGCTGAGGCGTGTCGACGTCAAGATCACAGGCAAGCTTCCAAGTTACTCTCGGAATGTCGTTGCCTCCAGGGATAAAAGCGGGTCCGTTTCTCGGAGGACAGATGTTCCGACCCAGCCTAGCCGCAAACCAGGGCGCAGCCTCTCATTGAATGCAGGACCCACTCAGATCCGAGTATTTTTTGCTCTGAAGGAAAGCTCGCTTTAATTCTGCTTCTGCCTTCATCAACAACTGCGAATGATCATTATTCTACGACATATGGTCCCGAACACACCATTTGGGAGCTTGAGGTTAGCGTTCTTCTGCAAAAGTGGCAGTTGACTGCTCTCCCGACGCTTGGGCAGCACATCACCAAAGCTCTTTCACGAGCCTTCTCGGCGCTGCCTTCCGCTCTGAGCAACTGTCCACGAGATCAGGTATACCAAGTGGCAGCTTGATTCGGATAATTTTTAGTTGTTTTCCCAACGACGTCGCAAATTCCAGTGACACGACGGCGCTTTCGAAGCCTCAATGCTCGCCTTTCGAGGCTACATGAGCAACTGAGGTCAATATGACGCCAAGAGTAAAACCATACGCCCTGCCAAGGGTGATCTCCGACGTGTTACAAAGCTCCAGCTACGGCCATGAAGAACTTTGCGTCAAATCCACGAGTCACATTTCAAATATTACCACAATCTCGGTACGAGAATCAGTAGCTTGCCCATAGGGCATGTAGTCACCCTTAACGGGCCATTTACATATCGCGGCCTCTCCGTCCCGCAGCCAGTTTTATGTTACAGGGAAGGTTTCACGTGAACGGTTGCCCGAAAACATGAGTGATGTATCACGACGACATTAAATGAACGCATGACCTGGAAGACATCTTGTATTATCCGTGAGGCGAATTCTCACAGCTCCTTCTTTTCACTAGAGCCGGCACCACCCGCAGTCGCTGGGACAGGAACCTGGGCAGGCTGTGCCTTGGCCTGGCTTTTCGTGAGAAGAGCCCTACGAGGATGTAATCAACTCGCTGATCAAGGCAAGCATGCCTG